TTTCATAGATCACCCTTCATAGATCTCATTCCATTTATTTTGAGTTCTAAACTTTCGAAGCTATTTGAAAACTTGTTGTCAAATACCTGAAAAATTTAAAGCAATCCTCACCTATTCTATTGCCGTTCTCTAAGGCATGTTGAGAAACACTAGACTTATCTGGTCTGTAAAATCGAATATGTGAAACATGAAACTGAATATGGGAAATGTGTTAACGAAACGTGCGTCGAGAGACATTATTTTTGTTCTGGTGTGAGGAGAGTGTTTTCCATAGATATCTTTGAAATAATGTAAACTCTAATCAGATATAAAACGTTGTGAAACTCCGGTAAAGCTCTAGGTACCAATTCCAAACCAGTTCATTCTCAGACATCGTTGTTGTCGACGAGTGTATCTTAACCTATTTACAAAATTTCAGTCTCCGCTAAAACGCTACAGACAAAACAGTGATGAAAAGATAATTTTCATAAGTAAACGCGCCCCTTTCATTCCCAGGTGGGAGGCTCCATTTTGAATATTTGAAAATCCTTTCTTATTGCACATCAAAAACATAAAACGAATCTACATACAAAATTTCAGTCATCGGTGAATCATAAAGATTAATAAACCTCTGAAGAAGCCAGGCACTCGTGCTGACGAAACGTTACAATGCATTTCCAAACTACAACCGTCTTCAAACCCGAATGGAAATAGTAACACTAAAAATTAAAATTCCGGCCGCGAAAGCCTTCACCAATTTATTAGAGGTGAATGAGTGTCAAGTGACTTTCGCATTCATAAGTTAACATGTATGGGATGCTTCCCAAAAGGAAAGGAACTTATGAAATTTAGAAGGTAAGGTATACCTACCCTCCTGAAAGCACAATTATTAGATGTCTTACACTGAAAATGTTCAATTTGAACAATTTGACATTCTGTCAAAAATGACAAAATCAGGTGATAAATAACGAATATATTTATCAAATTGTAGAAAATAAAAAAAACAATGAATTTCAGTAAACTATTTTCGGAAGATATTTGTCTTTACAAAAAGTCTGAAAAGTATATATTTCGACTAATTTGTGAAATAACTTCCACAAGAGTTGGTTCTGAAATTTTTAGCACCCTTGAAAGAGCAACAACTTGTTTTTATTGGGGTTCGGTGGAAACATAGGTTTAGCACTCATAGGTATGTCCGATATTTTGAAATTTGTGTTCAATTTGACTGATCGTTGATTGATATGCAAGTTATATCACTATTACTCCTTTCCTTGAATTACACATTGAATTCGTTGAATTGTGAGTGATGAGTAATAATCGAGGTGCAATTATTAACATTTGGTACATTTTGGAAAACTGAATTTCTTAATCATATGATTTCAAAATGAGATGCCATTCGAATAAATATTTAACATGGCAGTACATATGTGGAGTTTCATAAACCCCAGCTGGGAAATATCACTTTCAAAATAAACTAAATGTCAGATTTATGCGCACGCCCATCCCAGTAGCTTCTGATCTATATCCCCACCATTGATTTCAAATGTTATTGCAGTATTCCGTAGGCAGTGAGTGAGACTATACGCAACTAAAACGCTCTGGGGTGTGTCAAACCCCATCTATGTACTCACGTTTGTGATTTTATTATTTTATGTGAGTGATTATTTTTGACTTGTTTGAATTAGAAAAATCCATCACCTACTTTTTTCAGCTAAAATATCATGTCGTACGAAGACAAACAAAAAAAGCTTCAAGCTTTATGGGCTGAATGTGAAGAAGACACCATCGAATCGGGAAGCGAAGACGATATTGATCATATCAATACCGACTCAGAACAGGACGTAACAATAGAAGATGAAGTTTTTGTCGGAAACTCAGACAATGAGAACTCAGAAACGGGATTCCAAAAAGAGACAGAAAAATATCGACGGACCTCCACAAAACAAGAAACTATATCTCGGAAAAAATGGAACAAAATGAAACAAACTTTCATCAAATCAACGCGTTTGAACAAGAGCAGACAATATCATCACTCATTTGCCAGGTGTCAAGCAGTATGCAAAAAACTGTAAGAGTGTTTTAGATTGTTGGAAGTTGTTCTCTGATCAACAAATGATCGAAGACATAGTGCGTTGGACCAATGTCAAGATTCAACAAAAATCTGTTGCATACAAAAATAAATGTATGGTGAAAGCAACTAATGAATGTGAAATCAAGGCATTCATTGGGCTTCTTCATTTAGCAGGTATGTTCCGTTCTAATCATCAGAACTTGAGAGACTTATGGCAAACAGATGGGACTGGTGTTGATATATTCCGCAATATGATGTCTATAAATCGTTTCCAATTTTTGATGATCTGTCTTTGATTCGATAATATTGAGAATCGCAAGGATAGAGTGGCGATTGACAAATTAGCTGCTGTTCGTGGAATTCTATACAAGTTTGTTGTTGAAGCAAGCCTACACTCCTTCACAATATCTGACGATCGATGAAAAGCTGGAATCCTTTCGTGGAAGATGTGCTTTCAAACAGTACATTTCCAATAAGCCCGCCAAGTACGGGATCAAAGTGCAAGCCCTAGTTGACGCCCGGAGTGTTTTAAATTTGGAGGTATATCCAGGAAAACAACTAGAAGGGGCCTACAATCTAAGCAACTCCCCAATAGATATTGTAGAGAGGCTTGTACAACCTATTTCTGGTTCGAACCGAATATGACTTTTGACAATTGGTACACTAGTTTTGAATTAATGATGAAGCTACTGACTCTGCATAACCTTACCTAGTAGGCACGCTGAGAAAGAACAAACGATGCATTTCAGCAGAATGTTTGACAGTTCGGAACAGGGAACCAAAGACATCTTTGTTTGGCTTTCGAAAGGATATCACCCTTTTATCGTATGTCCCAAAAAAAATAAAAACGTCCTGCTGATGTCCACTATGCACCATGATGGATCAGCTAAATTTAAGCATTTTGTTAATAATTTCACACTGTGGACACTCACCAGTAACCTTTGATCCTTTCTGGGATTTGTCTCTCTCCATACCACAAAGAACCGACCAATTGAGTTTGTGGCAATGCTTGGATTCGTTTACAAGAAAAGAAATTTGGATGGAAATTAAAAACCGACGTGTTTGAAATGAAAGGAAAGGAGAAAATGCACAAAGTCCCTATCAATCCACAAGTTTCCTAATATTTTAGTAGTTCATTTAAAATATTCTCTCTAACGGCAAGATTCAGAAACAAATTGAATGATGTCATCCTGAATATTACTGGAGTTTATCCCAACACCAAATCGTTATTTTTACACCTCGACACGTGTTTTGAATTTTATCTTCCTCTTGAAGATGATCACTTGGTGATCGAAACACGTGTCGAGGCGTAAAAATAACGATTTGGTGTTGGAAAAAACTCCAGTAATATTCATTACTACACCAAAGGTTCCAAACAGTATATCACAAGTAAATGATGTCATCCTGTAAAAGAATTGGATTTGAACAATTTGTGTGTTGTTATAATCTATATGCATTTTCAAATCACTACTACAGAGGGAATTATACAGTATACTGCAGACACCCGTAAACTGGCACGTGGCACGAATACAATGATTCACACGTGTCACCAATTTCACCAAAATCGCTTGTGAGTGGAGAAGCATACGTTCTCTTTTACGAAAAGGATGGAAAAAATCGCACCATTGAGATTACTGAGGGAAAGTTTTTTTGTGCAATTATTATTTATTTGTTGTTGAGTTCGAACAAAAGTTAGTCATTATATTATTGATTTTGTGTATTTTTTTCTCAAAGATTTCTCAGTATGGTCGTAAAACAAACTAAACAAATTGCATCGATTTCAAAAACTTCATATTGACTATATTGACTAAAAAAGATTCTGTTGTAGATGACTAAGAATTTTTTTGTATCAAGATGGATTAGTAGAAGGCCAAAACCTTTCTTTGCCAAAAATTATTCTCCCCTAAAAAAATCGAACTTCACTGCTTAAGAACTCTTCCATTTGGAGAACTGCGTGTATGTGGAATAAACTTCCTGAGAGCGTTTTTCCAAATGGATTTAATCTCCAGCGATTCAAACCCAATGTGAATCGCTACTTCCGCACAGGCACCGCTCTTAGAGCGCCTTAAGGAATTTCTTGTAGTGCTTGTGTTCTCTCCTTAAAGAAATACCCTTTTCATTTCAATTTGAATTATCTGTGGTTTCTGTGAATGTCTAAAAAATAAGAGCAAACAATATACCTGTCATAAATAATATGCCTTCACTTCAACAACAATAATGCGCCTACCTGCTGGAAATTCAGTACTGTTATCGCTCTGATTCTAGATTATTCTCTTCACCAACTAAATAAATAAGCATTGTTGTGGCTTTTCATTGTTAATGATGCAAACATCTTTCTACCTACGCACAAACCCAATTCAAGTCGTATTTTACTGATGTTTGATAATTTATCTACTCATAAGGAGAATGCCTTATTATAATAATTATGTTGTGAACAGAGATAGTTACAGCATCATTTTTTAACCAGGATTGCAAGAAGATAGATTTAATTTTTTTATTATATGAATTGACTGATTTTGAATGTGTGTTTTATATCTCTCAATGAACTGAGTTAGAAACAGTGGACTTGACTCCTGGTAAATAGTCAACTCATCTAACAAATAAGTTTTGATAAGTTTCACGAAACTCAAAAACTCCACTTACAAATTCTTATAATGCTAATAAAGCTGGTTTTTTCATAGTAACCTTTTTCACTTGAAAATTTGAATCGAATATCAGACCCCTCCCAAAAACCACTTCTCTCGAATTGGCAACTGATGAGAAAAAGAAAAATATTTTCGTTAATGTTTGGAAGATTTTTAATCCACGGCCAAAACATTCAGAAATCATTCTATCAGGCATAACTTGATATAATAGTAGACCTAGATCATTTTGGATCTATTGAAGTTTTATGCATAATGTCCTCCAGATGATGAGATATATTCCTAACTAGTTATTGTTTTTTTGTCAATCTTATCCTCCTGCTATCTAGTAGTATCCTAGGTATCCTTTGCCATTCCTAGTGATCTCTTTGCTATCTCTTGCTATCCCTCTTGCTATCTCTCGATACATATTTCTTGATATCCCTTGCAATTACTTGCTATGTAACATTTTTTTATCCCTGGCTATGTTGTAGTATCTCATCCCTTTATTATGTAGTAGGAGTAGAAGAATCAATTTTGCCATTACTAAAGTTTTATGCAAAATATTCTTCATGTGTTGAGGTATTTCTCAAAATTTATTGATTTTTAGATAATCTTATTCCATTCATTGCTAGCTCACTGACAAAAAATATGGAAACTTTGTAAATCTTCTTTCTTGATCAAAGATCATGGATTCTTCCATTGCCGATTTCTGCAGAATTGAAAGTCAAAAAGTCAGTGATGTTTTTTATGATGTATTTCAACTCTAAAATCACCTTATTGATAACAAGCAGTGTTAGGGAGTTTTAACAAACACGGTTAGTCCTAATTGAAGGGTATATAGAGGAGTGCACAAAAAATAACTGCCTCTCACTTATTTCACTTGCTTCAGAAAAAACATGGCGTAGGTAATATTATATATGTATAGAACAATTTTCAAAATGTTAAGTATTGATACGGCTGAAGAAATTGCTAATTTGTGTTCCTACATTCTACATAAAAAAAACTTTCTATAGCCAGCCGCATATTAAAAAAAAAACAAATAAGATTTCGGTCGTTCCTTAATGCGACTCTGTACAAGCAGCCTCGCTTAGCCACGTGCACTATGCATGATAATGTTTTGGAGGACTCCGTTGCTTGTATGGACACAGTATACATATGACAACTGACACTGATGACTAATACACAGAGAAGCCAACAAAGAAAAAATACATGCTCCAGCCGAGCCAAATAGAATAATGGAAACTTGAGAGGCAGTAATTTTTCAGCTAATTTTGAAGTTGACAATTCGTATGGCATTTTCCTATAGAAATAAATGGGTTGAACAATGTACTTTGATATGATATTACAAAAAAATACCCAAACCACTAAGCTTATGACATTCATCAGAGCTAACGCTTAACCCAACCTTACTTTTATTTTACTATCAACTGATGAATAATAATCTTTTATTTTAAATAGAGAAATATGAATAAAGGTTAGTGAATTTTTTTATTATCATTTTCGGTTTCAGCACACCAAAGAAGCCTAGGGATAATGAAAAATTATTAAACCTTTTTAATCGTTGGTCAAATTTCTCTTTTCTCTTATGGGATTTGGTTCTTCAGGTAACTTTAGGTAACTTGATCATTGATCCATTCTGGATTCAAAACAAAGGACTCAGATATTTTCTTCTTGTCCTAAAATGTGATGATGATACCGATGTTAGATCTTGGATGACTTTGGCAACCAATCTCTAAAGAATAAGTTGCAAATAACATTTTTCTCTGACCATGGCATTATATTTAGGAGAATAATTTCTGGTGAACTCATCAGTTACTTGTAGGGACTGGAGATACGGGATACCATGACTAACTTGATGGTAAAAAGCAAGTTTGTACCGTACAAACCTGCCATTTCCCAACATCAAGAATATATCACCTCTCCAATCCAAAACTTTAAACTGTGTCGTCAACGTGGCAGAAATTACGATACACTAAATATCAATCGAGGAATAGAAACACTCAAATTTTTTTCCTAAAAACCAATCCCTCAAATTTCGTTCTCAATTAATGAAATTCATGTGGCTGCGATGAAAGTAACTGGTTTTCAATTATTATCACGAACTGTAATTGATTTATTTTTGTAAAGATTGGGAATTTTTCTTAAAAGTAGCCAGAAGGTACTGATGAGGAGTTGAAGGTTGGTGTTTTTTACCCAAAATTTCCGGCGGCAAACCTACAAATGAAGCCGTAACTTCCTTACTACTGATGAAGCTACAGCCTTAGCGAAACGCGTCTAGAATAAAAAAAAGTGGTCAATTATTATCATGGATACATTTTAATTCATATTGTTGTACCTTCGACTTGGAGATAATTTATAAAAAAGTGTATAGTTTTTGGATACATTGTAATAATCATCTTTTGAATACCCATATCGAGTCCTACTGAAAATGTTGTAATTTTATGTTATACTCAATATATCATTGTAAATACTTTTTTAATCATCCACAATCGGTAAAGTTACACTTTACAAATTTCTATCGATATAAATGAAATATCTCATGAATTTTTACGGCCCTGTATATTTCTTTCAATAGTTTCTAATGTGAAGGAGAAAACTCTATTGTGCGAGTACCTCTCTGCTTTAAGAATTCCATACAATTTATAGGCACCGTTGGCAATTAATTGAGAACCTGTTAGAATGATGGTGCCATTAATTGAGAAAGAGATGCGTCGGTCTGATATAAATAAATATTTCCAGTCATTTTCAAGATACACGATCTTCTAGACGATCCTTACCGACCGCACAACATATTACTATTATTCAACCATAATGGGATTCGTCTGAAAATACATCTTCAAAATTCCATAAACTCCAAATATAATGAATCGATTTCTTCAATCAATCAACTCAGGATGTTAAACTTTACAGGGTGACTACCTCATTTAGCCCATTTAATTCCGCATTCAGTGTTCGGTCATTATTCAAACCATTTGCTCCAACTTCCGCTGAAGATCGAATATTTATTGCAACAAGCTTAATAACCCCGAATTCAGACAAATGCAGATGAAACTGTGGTCGATTGTAAGACATTCTTTTCAACAATCGTATGGATTTATTTGATCCACTGTCATCCGTAGGAATATAATATTGAAAATATATGTTTTTCTTTGATGTTCAATAATTTCAACCCACTTTTCAAGAAAATTAAAGCTGTTGACAAGACATAGTCTGAATCTTTGGAACTACCATAAACCTAGTGAAATTGGCCTTTTCGTTTATTATGAAAATATAAAAAAAACATTCCTGATTTTTCATAGAATTCACTGTTTATCAAAAATTTAGCGTTTGAACAGCATTATATATGTTTCATAAAAAAAGTTGTGTCTGTAGGTTTTTATACTTGACGTTTCGTCTACGACTACGGTAGATATAATTAAAGATGATGAAGCAATATTCTGGTTGCCCCCCAAAACAAATTTTTTTTAATGGTCAGTGGGCTATGCTTGAAGACTGGCAGTCAACAAATCTAATAATATCAGGTATTAGCCAGGGGAGTAGTTGTTTTCTGATAGGCGTCAGTCCATTCAACCTACTGTGTAGGTATATCTGAGACTGTCTTGAACGTTTAAAGTTCATTTCTTTAGATTAGTTGACTGCCAGTCTTCAAGCAGAGCCCACTGACTAATAAAAAAGTGTTTCTTCCTTATTCAGAGGAATCGGGCAAATTACGGATATGCAGTTGGTTAGTACCTCGTCCACTAGATGGAGTGACATTTTGTTGTTTCGCTCCAACTTAGGAAGAGGAATGAAATACTCTGAAAGAATTCCGATTTTCAATTATGGAATATCATTGACTTTAGGTCGATGATGATCACTATCTTGCACTGATGAGTGGCTAATGAGCCCGAAACCGGTCTGCAAGTGTGCCCGTTCCAAAATTGAAAGTCTACTCTTTCAGTTATATTGCCAATTGCATATGCAGGGAATTTTCTGTGAAGATTCCTGCACTGACGCCTTTCGGATATAATCCAACGCCCTTCGTGGTATTAGCCAGGGGAGTAGTTGTTTTCTGATAGGCGTCAGTCCATTTAACCTACTGTGTAGATATATTCAAGACTGGCTTGAATGTTTAAAGTTCATTTCTTTAGATTAAAAGAATTGTTATTGGTTGAGTTCATTCCATTGTTGATGGGCTTGACTTCATTTCTATGAGTGCCGGTATGGCTTCCCTATATATTCTTGGATAATAGCTGATTTCTGTTGAGGACTTCGGTTTGTTCAAACGCCATAATATCCATATTCTGCTAGGTCTGATTTATCAGTATGCTCTAGGCGACAACTTTTTTTTGTGTTCAAAGAGCTCAATACTTATTCCGCTCTTCGTGGTTCCAATGTAGACTGGTCCACAGCTAAAGGGGATCCTGTAACCTCCGGTACCCAAGAGACCCTTTGGTGTCCTTAGCTGACCTTGGACTCTTCCTGATCGTTTTGTTAAATTGAAAATCGATTTCAGGTTGTTTTCTCTAGAACCCTTCCATTGTGGTTGGTAACAGTCTTCACAAATGACAGGAAAGCTTTTCCATTGACCAACTTATTTGGAAGTAGTCTTGGCATTCCCTTTTCTGGGTCTTTCTGGTTCATCTTGCTTTATTAAAATCACCTTCACTCTCTCAACTACTTTTGATATTTTCCTCTTATGTCGTGGCTGGTGGTTGGAGTTCTGTTTTTAGATACCCCTCTATAGGTGTTGCTTTCCTGGACACTGTGATCTAATGTTCCATCTTTACGTCTGTTTACTAGTACATTCAAGAAGGCGAAGGTGTTTCGGGTTTCCTGTTCCGTTGTGAAATTGATTTTCACGTTGAAGGAATTCAGATATGCAAGAAATTCGTTCAGCTGCTGTCACCGTGCTTCTGTACCACGAACATGTTATCAATTTTTCACGGCCGCTCCTAGGTACATTGTTCAAAATTTTCCATGAGAAAGTTTTCCACAACAGGACTTAACTGGTTGCTCATTGAAGTGCTAATTGTTTGCTCATAGAAAACACCATCGCACTGAAATACGTCGATAACACACAATAAGCGAACATGGCAGTTATGTCTGCCGGAAACACTTCGCTGATTAGCTTAATCGTCTTTGATCGGAAACATTGTATACATGCTGCATTTATCGACCACCAAACAATACAGAATATAGGGTACTATTCTCTTTACTTGCAAACACTACTGACTGTGTACAAATCAAGCATCGCAATGCCGAGATTTCCATATTCGGTGACTTCAATGTCCACGATATCGAATGTCTCAAAATTTTGAATATCAACAACGAACAAGGCCGCAAAGCTGAGGCGGAATCACCCAGATTATAAATAAGCCAAAGAGGATTCCTGACCGTGATGGAGAATATGCTAGTCTATACCTAACAACCAATCCAGAAATTTACACAGTCACCGTAAGGTCTCCGTTGGGATCTTCTGACCACAAACTCATTTCACTGTCGAGTGAATTTTTGATGAATGTTGAGGGATGAAGATCTTCAAGACCATTTTCGAAATTTCATTGATGTTTGTTTCAGCTCTAATGATGCATCAACTTGTGCTTTTGAAGTCACGGGAGTTATTTTATCATCCATGGATGCATATATTCCTTTTTCAATGAAACGATTTTATAAATGCATACATTTGTTCAACAAAGATTACGAGAAAGCTGTCGCCTCCAAAAATCTCGCCTACCGGCAGTGGCGCAAAAATCCCAGTGCCGAAAATTATTTTATCATCCATGAATGCATATATTCCTTTCTCAATTAAACGAACGGCAAACCATGGTTCAACAAAGATTACGAGAAAGCTGTCGCCTCCAAAAATCTCGCCTACCGGCAGTGGCGCAAAAATCCCAGTGCCGAAAATGGAAATTTGTGAAATGGCGTTTTGTTAATGTTCGCAACAGCTGGAAAATCAGAATAAATGAAAGCAAATAACTTCACAATCAAATAATTAGGGATAAACTGCTTGCCAATCCAAACGGGCCTGGATTATTCTGGTCGGTAACCAAAGATGTTAATCAAAACTTTACAAAATCCACAATTCCAGCACTAACACAAGCGGGTGGATCTATTGCAACAACAACCATAGAAAAAGCAAATCTACCAGCTGAACAATTTATGTCCCACTCCACAGTCGATTTTCTGGGACAGACACCACTATTTCCACACTAGAATCCACAATGTCGAAAATTACTTTTCGACAACGTCTAGTCAGGCAAATTTTGAAACAGCTTAATGTCAAAAAGGCTTCTGGTGCTGATAAAGTGCCCGTTATCGTACTTGAAAAGTGCGCCAAATGACTCCCAAGAGTATTTTCCAGAATTTCAAACCTGTCTTACAAGGACAGGGTTTTCCCTACTTGTTGGAAGATTGCTCGTGTGAGGCCTAATCTCAAAAAGTGCAAGAAAAATCTTACAAATAACTATAGACCAGTCACTTTGCTATCAGTTAATTAAAAAATCATTGACAAAGTCGTAAACCATCATAACTTGAATATTTGAAAGGCATGTTGAAGCCTTGGGCGATCAACAATATGGCTTTCGGAAACAAATATCGATAGGCGACCTTTTATCGTATGTCACCCATATTTGGAATAACGTAATCGATATACATGGAGAATCAAGAGCTGTTGCGCTTAATATTTCTAANTTTGGGTCCGAGATAGACTTGGCTTTTCTGGTAGAGGGCTGTTCTTGTGATCCGAAAAGCCATATGATGTATGGCTTTTACCATCATCGCTGGATTCCCATCCAGCACATCTTCACCGGTAGCAGAAGGTTGCATACATTTATGAAGATCTAGGGGTGATTTCGAATTTGGGTGAAAGAAACCAGGTTCAATCCAATGCCGAGAAAATCCACGTATCGGTTTTCTCCAGAAAGATGAATGTCTCCGAACAGGATATAATAATGTCAGGACAAACAATTTCGCATTCTGCTTCGATAAGTTTGTTGGGGGTTAAAATGGACTCCAATATATCAGATCAGACCTTCTTTGGAGTACTGATCTCATGTATGGAGCTCCGCCCCTGAGCATACTCTGATTCTACTGGATACTGCCGGAGTCTATCCAAAAACCAGCCATCTGTCTGATTGGAGATAAGAACATCACTTTCAATCTTGATAGTCTGGAACATCGAAGAAACGTTGGTGCTTTGTCTCTCTTCTATAGATACTTTTACGGAAACTGTTCAACTGACCTGGTACATTTTGATTCCACCAAGAGCAGTACATCAGAAAAAGCGACGGACGGCTGCTCATCATTTTGAAGTTCAACTCAGAACACATCGAACTTCTCTGCTTAAAAACTCTCTCATTTGGAGAACCGCGCTACGGTGGAATAAACTTTCTGAGAACGTTTTTCTAAATGAATTATTTTTCAGCGATTTTAACCCATTGGTAATCGTTACTTTCACACAGGCACCGTTATTAGAACGCATTGAGGATTTTTCTGTCGTGCTTGTTTGTTGTCTTCGAAAAGAACCATGTCAACGCTTACCAGAATATATCTTGTAACAAACCTCATATCATTTTTCGAGTGAGCGGCTGCAGGAAGGTAATTGGTGTTTGGCTAAAGAACCTACTATGTTGCTTGTCACGACCGTGAAAAGCAACTGAGTGAATTTCCTGCATACCTAAATTATCTCAACCTAAACATCCAACTCATCATGGAACAGGAATCATCGTCTTATTGAATGTACTAATAAACAGACGTGGATATGTGACATTGGGTCACAGAGTGTACAGGAAATCAACGCACACAAAAAGGTGTCTGAATAAAAGCTTCAACCACCAGCCATTACAGAAGAGGGAGGTAATCTAAATGTTAATTGGAATAGCTCGACGCATCTGTGAACCTAGGGAGGAAATCAGTCACTTGAAAAACGTTTTCAAAGGGAGTGGGTTAACTGAACCCATTTGGAGAGGGCAATACGACCCAGGAAAAAGATGCCAAGGCTACTCCAACTGTTTGTCGATGGAAAAGATATCATGTTATATGTGAAGAATGTTATCGACCGGATCCTTGAACACAAAAAAATCACGCATTGGACAGACAGAAAAATCAGCAGTAGCGGTCGAGGGTCCAAGTTTTTGATAAAACTCAAAATTACTGTCCAAGAAAAGATATAGGAAGATATAGAAAGGTGATAGAAATGCAGAAGCATAGAAATAATTTCAACCAAAAGGAACAGGGAATTATCAATAATAAAATCAAGATACCTGCACTTTATTGCATTCAATCAAGTTATTGAATTCAATCAATGGGAACGGTGCCATGATCACAAGCAATGAAATAAATTCGGAGATCCAAACCAAACAACGAACCCCTAGAAATAAGCTACCATAATCCACTAACCTAAAATAAGTGATATAAATATATGTTCCATTGTAATCTACACAGCCCCTGAAGATGCATAAGCCTATAGCAGGGTCCCACAACATTCCATGTAAAATAATAACATATCGCCATAAACTGTTAATAAACGTATTTGAACTAGAACAAACATCGAGCAACTGGACAGTTCAAATGCAATAATATATACTCACCCTCATAATTTTGGTGCAAATTTTTATCTTCACTAGAGCCCGAATGTAGTGTTGTCAAGTGAAGAAAGTCATCGACGTATTCCCATATAAGTAGGGTGTAATATATGAGAAAGTTATTGTTGTGTATATTTCATGAGAATTTTTTTTATATGTTTCAACTTTTAAACTGCAGGATGCTGAAGTTCATGAGGACACATTTTTTTCTTATGATAACTTTAGTATGACCCTAATTATTTTCGTGAAACTTATAGGTATCACACTTTGAAAGGTCTCATTAACCCTCAGTTTGTAGTCGTTTAGAATTTCAAGGGATGTTGAATGTAGAGTGGTGTCAGCTGGTTGCTCAAAAAACCCACTAAGAATCAAAAACATACTCACTTAGAGGTCGAAAGGATATCTACCCTGTTGTCAAAACATCCAAGAATATCGCTCAGAAGGGTCCATATGTGAATAACAACAAACATTATACCTCAGTCAGATGAATGCATTGACGACATTAATAGTTTGTTATTTTTAACCACAACTTTGGCCAGACTAGTTATATAAATACGTACTCAAAAGTACTGACAACAGCAATCATACCATTCATAAAAACATTCAGGAATTATTTAATGAAAAAGTTGAATGACTGATAACGTTGTTTATCGTTAAAGTTATATGGATTATATCATTTTATAATATCAAGATTAAGTTACTTCACTACGTGCCATAAAAAATCGACTAAAATGATGTAGAAAAAATTTGTACCGTTGATGAACTAATAAATTTTTAATTAGGAATATGTATTTTACAGGACATTATACTTCAAAATGATAACAGAGGCATTAGTGTTCTAGTCTCCGAGTATTATAGAGCTGATTTGCTGATTTCATATGACGTTATTGCTCTTAATTCATATGAGGCTTTGGTTTCTACATAGGAACTGAAATTTTATGATACGATATATTGAAATCATGTGATTATTCTCTTGTGATAGTATCCGGCTCGAGAGACAAAAAAATATAAACACAAATAACATTTCATATTTTTCTTCAAAATTATAATAATAAAACTATGAGTGGGTAGAAACTGAACAGGAAAATTCCCAATTAGAAGACAGCTGTAGAATTTGATGAAGTGAATATTTAGGTTGACTGAATTTATCCTGATAATTACTTCTCAGTTATAGTTCCAAACTATTAACAATCTACTTCTGTGATAGGAGGAGAGAAGTTTCATTATATTTGTTTCCATTAACAAATCCCTTAGGTTTGTGTTTTTAAGAGTGTGTTTGTTCTTGGATTAGATGAATTCAATATCAGGTCTACTGTTGGTACTAGATATGCAACCATTTGATTTTGAGAGTGTGTAAGGTAGGGCAAGTCCAAAGTGAGTAAATATTCGACTCCCTGCAACCCGCGAGGGTTTATTGTGCCTCATACTTATTCAAACTCGACCATTGGGTAAATGATTTATGAGGTCATCAACAAGAGCGAGACTCTGCAGAACGCTGAAAGCCTGATACATTTTATGCTGGAGTAGGCATAAAGTATGTGCTCCTCTACCAGTACAATGAATTTCCTTGAGGAGAATATTCCACTTCAAAGTTGACAGACCATAATACATTTGGTCTTGATCGGAGGTTGATCTGCGACTATATTTGGTAGGTAGGCAAGCAACAAAAATGTGTGGCTTTGGAGACACACGTCTCTTGTCATGCATTTCAGGAAGGCAACCTCCAATGGCTACAGGTTACTTACTGCACCCACCAGCCAGCAAGGAGGTGCTCTCCTGATCCTATCAGATGATCCAGGCCATGTAGGCCGAAATGTGCAGCTCCGAAATCAAACCTCAGTTTCTGTGAATTGATATAACTTTATGTGTGTATTGAAAACAGCGAGCCACATTCCACTCGAAATTTAACGAAGGAATCAGAAGTATCTCCAAAGTTCTTACAACTTTGATGAATTAGAACAGGCATCTTTTTTGCCGGCAAAATTATTTTATTTTTAATATCACCCCCATGATGCAAAACGAGAAATATTTTTCATCACAATCAATTCCTAGCCCTCTTGTTTGTCTGAAGTTTAACGAGTGAGCATAATAACCTTGATGACTGTTCAAAGTGTATGTAACGAACTTGGTTTTTTGTACATTTAATGGTGAATTTTTCGAAGTATATCATTCATGGAGTTTTTTCATATCGTATTGAAGTCGTTTGTGTTCATCTTAAGTGGTATTTTTCTAATTTTGATTAACGACGTTAATCAATCATGAAATTTATTAACACCAAAACACTATAACTAACGAAACACAAAATATACAAGCCCACGTGGCTTTGACGACGCGAACAGTTTCACTTGCACCAGAAAGAGATTTTACTCGCTTCAGTTCCCGACCCAAAGGTGAGCCATTTTCCTAAGATTTCCCTTCACCTGCTGGAACAGAAATTCAGTCCAGCCAACGCAAATTTCGGGTATTCGACCACTCAATTCTCGAGTGATCGAGTGTTACAGTGTTCGATTTGGGTAACTGCTTGACAATAGAGAAATGAAATGATTTTATACTAAGTAGTGGTAGGAAAAGTCCCTACAGGATGCTCTGTTTGGAACCTTTGGGGTAGTAGTGAATATTACTGGAGTTTTTTCCCAACACCAAACCGTTATTTTAACACCTCGACACGTGTTTTGATCACCAAGTTATCATCTTTAAGAGGATGATCAAACTAGTTTTAAGGGAAAGATCGAACTAGTTTGATCAAAGTAGTTTGATCTCCCTCTTGAAGATGATCGTTTGATCGAACTAGCTTGATCTTCCTCTTGAAGATGATTGTTTGATCAAACAAGCTTGATCTTCATCTTGAAGATGATCACTTGGTGATCGAAACACGTGTCGAGGTGTTGAAATGACGATTTGATGTTGGGAAAAAAACTTCAGTGATATTCGTTTAATTTGTTGAAAATTTTGGGTCCGAGATAGACATGTCTTTTCTGGTAGAGGGCTGTTCGATTTGCAGATCGAGTATCAATTTTTATAAAAATTTGACAGATATTCTATAATGTGCATTGTGAAAAGTATTGAATTTAATTGTATTTATAGCTCAGTATTCTGCATATAGTAGCTACCACATAAGAGGTAGATATGCCATCGCGGACTTTCATTTAGAACTATTTAAGGTAAACAATCTTACGGTACATTATCTTCATGTAACACCAGCGGTATAGGCAGCACACGCCAAGATAGCTCTCAGGGAGCAAGAATACTTATCGTTATGACCAGAATTACACAAAAACTTTGTAAATTGTAGCCTATATATTATTTTAATGTATAACCTGTATTTATGTAAAGTTTCATCTAAATCCGTTCTGTCGTTTAGACGTCAAAGAGCCACAAACATACATACCTACATACATGCATCCTAACAAATTTTCACATTTATATCTGTACAGATAGATAGTTATTGTAGAGAGCTTCGACTACGCTAGGGCTGGAGGGTCTATAATAAGTAGATAAGAATGTTTATATAAATGTTCTTCCAGAAAGATTTCACCCAACCAGTTGTAGGCGCATTATACACAACACATGGAGGCTCTTTAAATAATCAATAAATAAGTTTCAATCATAGTTTGAGAAAGAAACCTCTGGGTTTCTGGTCAAGCCCTTCATTCGAAACTTCGACCATCGAAATACCCAATACTAACACCGTGGGAGTCAGAAAATCGTAGTTCCTCTAGAAAAACCTTGTCACCAAATCGATAAGACACCTATGACGACTGCTTGAAAATACTGCTTGAAACTGTGTCTTCTTTTGAAGTGAAATTGAAGTGTTTTCGGTTGGATACTTCTCAAATTGTTACCCTGAGTCAGGTTTTGTTATTTTTTAGGATTGTCGACTTCCATTGGTTTTCAGCGAGTTTCCCAACTTGTTATTGACACAAGTCTTTCTGCTAACGTGAATCTTTCTACTCATGAAGCTAACAACTTAAATTGTGTATCTATTTATTGGGTACTTTTCATGCATTTCAAGGGATTTAATTCTCCACCAGAATCAACAAAACACAACTTTAGTCTCAAAGAGTACTCTATTTTTTATTCTTCTGCAAACCAAAGCTATTTATAGATCAACAGGTCGGCATGCCTGCGGTGCTTTTACGATATCAGGCAGACCGGGTCGTTGGTTGTGGTAGTTTCTTATGCGTCTGTTTTCATTTGAATTCTGTCTTTATATTCACAGGTTGTGAATTGTCTTTACTGAATACTTTAAACACGAAGTAAACAATGTTCTGATACGCAATAAGAAGAAAACGTATTTTATTTCTATTGCTATTTTAAAAACAATGGTCTCGAAATGTAAAACAAAGGAAACTAGTGCTATCATTAAAACAACTGAGTGTTAATATGCAATATTCATTTAAAAGTAATTGTTTCGAAAGTATTGTTAAAATATGCCTAATACTGGTGATTTTTGTATTATGCTTTTGGCTGCACTGCCTTGATATATAATGAAGATTTTTAGTTAAGTTCTGTGTTCCTTGATGTAGGTTGAAGAGGAATGTAGTGTCGAGTTGGAAATACAAAATAAAATAGAAAATGTATACGGTGTTTTGATAAAGTAAAACAACAAAGTAAAAGGAGCCTATATTAACAAGTATTTCTTCTTTCATGTAATTCGAAGCAGTTATTTCGAGAAAGTTTTTTCTTTCCACTTTGCATCTGAAGGTTACTTTTCAGCATGATCTACAAATGTGTGTGAAGAGTTTATTTCGAAATTGATTTCCGTCTTTCTTTGAAAACATCCCACATTTTTTTATATGAAAATGAAGAAAGCTCAATTCTTCGTTTTCCAGCTGAATGTTAGTTGTAACAGAGCAACCCTAATCTGTTGACAGCTTTGAAATTTGAAACTTTAGGTTAAGGGAATTTGGGAGTGTAGTATTTTTCAGTTCATGAATTATAATTGCGCATTATGATTCTGAAGAACAATGTATGAGAATATTCAGTAGGTATTTTTTGCTCCAGTACGGTGAACATATAAAATTTAACAATATTTGAACATGACATTTTCATCGATTGCGAACTCGTTGACTCTAGGGCTTTTGAATAAACTGAGTCATCAATTTCTGAATTGTCCCAGCTACACAGACCATCAATAAAAGTAGGAGTAGGTACTGTCAATCGTCAATTCTTCAGTATTAAAATTAATTCATATCACTTTGAAAGTATTAGTTTCGTTTGAGATTATGAATATTCCCTTCCATCAAATTCAGAAATGAGTTGAGTACGATAATTTTTTTTTTTTATTCATAGATAATCAGAGACATACTTTTCCTTGACTCTAGAGAAATGTCATAGTGAGCAAATAGTTTAAACATTTCACAAAAAAGCTTACAGATTCTGTACAGGTTATGGAGCCTTCTATGAGTAGATCGTAAGTGACTGAAAATACTTTTACGCACACATCAGCTTCAGATAAATCTCCTTAAGACCATCTTTTC